TTGAATATAACCTTTTGATTCCTGGTACTTTTTTCTTGGACCACTTAGGGAGTTAGGAATTGTTTTAGGAGTCATTGAATTTTGCAAAGAGAAATGTGGTACATCTTTTTCTTTTAAATAAATTATGTTATCTCTATATCATTTAGCTTTATTAATTTTAGTAATCTGTATTACAAGGTATGTTCTAAAATTTATTTCTCAGTGATTTTTATAATCAGAATATCAAAATATATGTTGATATATTTATTTGAACTGAAAAATTGAAGTCAGACTTTTTTTTGACCAAGTTTGATTTGCCTACTTGGTTTAAGAATGAAGACTGCTTTTGCCAATTAGGTTGCACAGCATATATTTTCTATAAATTGAATGATTCAAGGTAATCTGCAACTTCAAGTTTTCACAAAATATACTTAAAGTAGAAGATAAAGCTATTTTACCTAATGTTGTGCCATATTGTCAAAAGTATACTTTTTATTTTTAAAAATAAATTTTAGTATTTAGAGTTTTAACTCTTTTTGAACATATGGGATATTTACAAGTTGCTTATAAGTGAAAGCATAACAGATATTTTACTCTCATTTTAGTAATTTATCAATTTGTAATATTTATGTTGCCTTGATAACACCAAAAGAAATGTAGTGTCAGAAATTTTAACTTATAAAACCTTATAAATGTTAAACTTGCGTATGATAAACTTAGTGATATTCTTTGGTGATATGTGCCAAAGCCTTTAGAGGTGAAGTGTCTTGAAGTCTGCAACTTAATCTAAAATAGTTCAGATAAAAAGGAGGGGGCAGGAAAGAGGGAACTGGAGATAGAGCCAGGAGTTGGAAAATGTTAACAATTGGTTAATTAACGTGAAAGGTATTGTTCATTGTAATATTATTTCAACTTTTCTGAAGGCTTGAAAACTTTCAAAGTAAAAAGTTGGGAAAAACTTAATAGTCACGTGGAATAAGAAAACTAATTTTCAGAAGTATGTGTCAGTATTATAAGAAATGACTTTCCAGGATAAAAATATATTACATTAGGATAAAATTATGTGGGGGAAGTAGAATGAAGGACTTGTTCATGAATTTTTGTAAATAGATGATGGTGGGTATGAAATTGGTATGGTTTTTAGATTTCATTGGTACATTTAAAAATGATGCAACTATTTTATTTTAAAATGTCAACTTTATGTCAGAAATGACATCTTTTGCAACTAACTCTACAAACCTGTGATGAAAAATTTTAGATGCCAAATTAGAAAACTACACGAAGGTACGTGATTTTTAAAAATTCTTTTGTGGTAAGCAGGCAAACAGGTTTGAAGACTTCAGATCTGGCTAACATTCTTTCAGCTCTTTGTGTTCTAGGAATATGGTGCTAAGAGTTCACTCAGTTATACTACATCTGGCAGATCATCCTGGCATGGACAGATGGATGTGACTGTTTTAGCAAAGATTGTGCAGCTTATGAAACACAACTGTAATAACCTTCCCGCAAACCTGGACCTACTTCCACAGACATATAAACTTGATGTTCAGCTGCTGAGAGCAATCATAATATGTTGTTACGTTGTTTTTTAAATCACAGAATTGTTTTATGACCTTGTAATTTCCCTTTTCTATAAATGTGGATAATTTCTTTAAGAACTATATCGTAAGTTAATGATAATACTAATGTAATTTTTACTGGCCATAAAACTAGTAATTTTATAAACTAGAAGTTTATAAATGAACCTTTTTTTATTCTTATAAGTGTCTTATTAAAAAATTGCCTGGAAGGACTTTACTTGTGATGGTTACTTTGACTTGAGGTCATTCATATAAGAGTTTTGGAATGTGTACTATGAATATTTTGTTGTGCTGGAAATCTAAATGCCACTGTGTTACTGTGTAAACCATACTCTGAAGTACTTATTCATTGACTTAAATATTCTCCTGAAAAGTTGAGATTTAATTTTTGGATTGGAAGAGTGAAGCTTACAAGGTGCACGTACACATTGTGCAAGACTGTGGGGCTGAAAACCATGTGTGCTTTCTCTTCGCCAGGGACACTGGGAGAATGTCATTCCTTTGAACAGATCAAGCTGTCTGGTTAATAAAGAGATTTCAGCATTGTTCTTATAATCTTATCAGATGTTTTCTTGGTTTTATACTTGAAAATGGGAGACTGTGGAGGCTTAATTTAATGAAATACACATTAAAAAATCGCCAGTAGTATTTTCAAAAGCATCCGTAATTTAACTATGAAAATCAGAAAATTAACATTACTTCCATTTCATACTCAGACCCTCTTTAAGTTTTGTCACTTGTCTCAGTGATGTTCCTTTTGGCAAAAGATTCTGTTCAGAATCATGTCACGTTTAGTTGACGTTTCCTTTTTTTTTTAACACTTCACAAATTTGCGTGTCATCCTTGCACGGGGGCCATGTTAATTTTTCTCTGTATCATTCCAGTTTTAGTATATGTGCTGCTGAAGTGAACACAGTTGACATGTTTCTTTAGTCTCCTGCAGTCTGGAACAGTTCTTCAGTTTTTCCTTGGCTTTAAAGATTACAGGCCAGTTATTTTGTAGAGTGAGCCTAATTTGGGTTGTCCGGTGTTTTCTCATGATTAGATTCAGGTTATGTATCTTAGGAATTTCACAAAACTGATTCTTTGTCCTTCTCATTGTATTCTGTCAGATGGTATATGATTGCAGTTTGTCTCATTGCTGTTGATGTTCACTGATCACCTGATTAAGGTGGTGTCTGCCAGGTTTTCTGTATTAGTTTCCTATTGCTGGTGTAACAAATTACCACAACCTTAGTGGCTTAATACAACACAAACTTATTCTCTTTTAGCTCTGGAGGCCAGAAGTCCAAAATCAGTTTCACTGGGCTAGTCGTGGCTTTGGCGGGATTGGTTCTTTCTGGAGGCTTTAGGGTACACTTTGTTTCCTTGCCACAGCCTGTATTCCTTGGCTTGTGGCCCCTCTCTCCATCTTCAAAGGGCATTGCTCCAATCTCTGCTCCCATTGCCCCATCACCTCTATTTTTTGACCCTCCTTCTTCTAAGGACCCCTGTGATTTTATTGGGCCAAGGATAATCTCCCCATCGCAAGATCGTTAATTTAATCACATGTGTGTAGTTCCTTTTGCCATGTAAGAGAATAGATTCACTGGTTCTGAGTATTAGGATGTGGACGTCTTGGGGGGCAGTTATTCAGCCTACCACACTTCACTATAAAATCATTCTTTTCTCTTTTGTAACATTTTGTGGGAAGATACTTGGATCCCTGGTTCATGTTAGTAGAGAATGGTATCTAGAAGCCAAGATATGGGTGCTAGGTGTGCTCACTGCTATTGAGATGCCACTGCTTCTAGGCTCACTTAATAGAGCTAGAGAATATCTGTGTATGTGTATAGATCTACATCTATATTTCTGTATTAAAAGATAGTAGTTTATACTGATACCTTCAATTCCAGTTTGACACCACAGGGTTCATTCTTGTTTTCTATTTTTTCATATATGTAATTCCCTTTTCTGACAGTGAAAAACTGTCTATTTATCCTTTTATCCATTATCCTTAATATATTAACTTATTTATCAGTCCTCCTGCATATTACCGGTCTCCTTTTCTGTTACCACTCCTTCCCCTACTTAGATTCCTCTTTACCAGCCTAGTTCTGATATCTCCTGCCACATATCTCTCCCTTGTGGATGCTTTCCTCAAAACATTGTGGTAACAGAGTAGTTGGACTTCTTACATGGAGGCTTTGGAGCATTCTTTTATATGCAAATTTCTTTTACTTATCTGGCATCTCATTTAAGGACTGTGGTTTTGCAGTTTTTTAATATTGTGAAAAAATTGACATTTAGTATTATCCAGCTGGATGCAGTTTACATGATCTCAGTTTTGTTGGCAACATCCAAAGCATCATAGTTAGGAGCCAGCCGAACATACACCTTCTCTCCATCAGGCCTGATCAGGATGTTGACCTTGGCCATGTCAGTGTCATAGAGCTTCTTCACAGTCTGTTTGATCTTGTGCTTCTTGGCCTTGACATCCATAATGAACACACGTGTGTTGTCTTCTTCTTCATGGCTGACTCGGTGTTCAGGGGGAACTTGATGATGGCGTAGCGGTCAAGTTTTTTTGCTCTTCCAAGGATATTTGGGCTGCCTTTGGAGTGTCTAGGGCCAACCAGAAGGTGAGTAACTTGCGGATCTTCTTTTTTTCCTTATGGCTGTGGACGCCTTTTAACCCTGCCTTCTTGGCCTTCCAGGCCTTTGTTTTGGCTTCGGCTTTGGGAGGGGCATGGACTTCTTTCTTTGCTTTCTGCGTGCCATTTTCATGAAAAGGTAGATTTTTATTTTAAAACTTACTTAAAAAGAATTTTTTCAACTTGGGAGAGTTATTCAAACCAAGTGATTGTGGTGAGTTTAGTAAAACAATACATGATATTTTGGCTTCAGTGTAATTCCTTTAATTGAATTGCAGATATTTTCTGGGGACTAAAGGAATACCTTTTGTCATAGCTCTTATATGAACCTATTTTAAGTTCGTACGGTTTGGGTGACTTTTCTAATTTAACAATTATTTTCATGTTTGAAGAATGTCATTTCTGCTTAGTTTCCTTAATAACCACGTTTCAGCTATTTTATACTTTTTGTTTCTTCTATAGCAGAAGGGAAAAGAGGAGAGAATTTCTCAGAAATTGCTGATTACGTGACTATATATTTTGGATTCAAGTCAGTTTTTGCATTTTTCAATTAGAAGTTACTTAAGTCTCACGTGGAAAATGGTTGCCTGGTAGTTGAGTAAAATTTTCCAGATAGATCGTTTGTTGTGAGTGGCAGAAAATTTAACCTATCTTGTGAATTTTTTTTAAAGGTTACTTAAGTAGGCAGCACTTTCATGTTCCAATAAAATACTAGCATGGTAATGAAGACTAGTATGGTATTAAGTCTGGCTTTTCCTTCACTGTGAAAAATGGTTTAACTTATCACCTTATTTTTCTTTTTTGACAGAGCAAATTCGATTAAAGAATATCAGAAAAGTATATGGAAGATGTATGTGGTATCGTTTACGATTATTAAAACCCCAGCCAAATATTATTCCTACAGTAAAGTAAGTAGTTGGTTTCAATTAAAAAACATACTAGTGCTTACTCTTTGCTAGGTATCATATAAAAGAGGGGTATAACGATGAATAAAATCTATCTGTAAAGAAATTGTAGTCTTAGTAGGAGTAAGATGTGATTAGTAAATTTGAGAGCTGTCTGAACAGAGAGATTTAGAAGTTTGAAGGAGAGTGTGTTCTTCTGACTCAGGAGGAGTGGAGAAAGAGAAGTCAAATCTTGAAGGAAGAACTTGTGCATCTTGTGTCAGGATTTAAATTTTGTCTTAAAGACTATGGGCGAATCTTTAAAAGATTATTAAAAGCTGGGAGATGATACGGTCAAGTTTGCATTTCATGGTGATAATTAAAGTTTATTGAGCACGTACGGTATGCCAGGTGCTGTGCTAGGGCTTTGTATGTCATCTCATTAGTTTTATATTAACTTCAAGGTAGATGTTTTTGCTTTTTCTCAGATGAGGAAACTGAGACTAAGAAGGTAATTTGACCAAGGTCCTGCTGCTAGAAGTGGTGGAGCAGGGACCTAGTCACCTTTGTTTTGGCAGGCCCATCTGCTTAAACAAACCATTAGCATGTTTGATTAGAGCGGGCCTGTTTGGTTTTGTGAGGCTGTGGGTGATGCTGGTTAGAGCCTAGGCTTTGGACCTTCATCCTGTCATCAATTTAGAGGTAATAGATGGAACTGAGAGGTGAAAGAGTTGCCTTATTGGAGGACTGTATCTTGTGAATTACCTACATCTCTTTATCCGATAGACAGGAGGAGAAGACCTGGCAGAGGAAATTAGTACAAGTAGAACCAGTTATTTTATAATCTTGTTTTAAATGATAATGATAGTTTTCAACATATCTGTGTAATTTCTGGGGGTTTAAATGGTTTTTCTTTGTAAGGTTTGACTTTGCCTGGTAGGTCTGACGTTTGAAGGTCCCTGTGACTTTTCGTTTGTAGAGGGAGGGAAATCTTAGCTTTAGTGTTAAGAGTTCTTCAGTGATATGACCCTAAAAGGCAAAACAAGTATATATAAAAGTAGTTTTATGTTCACTGTTTATTATTCTTTGCTATTGCTTCTCATTTTAAATTAAACTTTTATGAGGCAGCAAAGCAAATATTTTTGGCCTGCCAGTCTCTCCTTTTCTGGGCTTTGGTCAAAACTTTGTGGGTATCTGAACCTCAGTTTTCAAGGAAAAAACCCCAACTCTGTGGGAGTTCTCTTCCGTCATTAGTAAACTGATTTACTTAAATGGAAGTACAGATTAAAAGATGTTTAAGGAAGAATTAAATAGATACTGGTAACAATTTTAGATAAGGTCAGAAACCATCAGAACCTTTTTACTACTTAACCCTGCAGCATTCTTTCAAGATTAAACAGTCAAATTAAGCAGTCATAGTGTAATGCTCTAATTTCTGGAAGTTGCTTCCAAAATAACTTTTAAAGTATGCTTAAAGAAAAAACACAAGACTTCACAATTGTTGAAGCTATATGTAGGGAAATAAATTTTCAGAGGAACCAAACATGCTTTTAAAAAAATTGGGCATGGAACATGATGTAATCCATTGTGTTTCCACTGTTGCTTGGTTTTGTTGGTTGTGGTAGTTTTCATTAGCCTGGGTGTTCTGTCATGAGCCTCTCTCCTGCCTTTGTTCGTTGGCTTAAAAGCCAAATGCTACATGTAAAGCATCTAACATGGGGTGTAGTGTATCCTGGGTGTTTTGTTCCCTTCTACCCTTGTTTGCTTTAAGTCTTTAGTGGTTTTCAATTTCAATTTCACCATTATCTTTGTTTTCTGAGCTTTTGGGGGAGTTGGCAAAACAAAATGTGGAGTTGTTAATTTGTGTGGGAGTAAAGTGTATTTTCAAGTGTTCTTTAGCATATTGAGGGTATTAGCAAACTTTGGGTTTGAGTTTAAAATTACTGTTTTGAATTATTTTCATTATTCATTCAATAAGTAGTTATTGTGTGCCTACTATGTATGTGTCAGATATACTAGGTGCTGATATACTGTAATTAACAAATTGACATGGTTCAACAACTTAGTCTTAGGGGATACTGGCAAGTAAACAAGTAATGATAATAAGATTTAGTAAGGGCTGTGAGGGGGGTGCCTTGAAAGAGCAGAGGAAGGGCTCTGCTCTGGCTTGAGACAGAGAAGGCTTCCCTGAGTAAGTGAGGTCCAAGCTGAGATTTGGGTAAGAGTTACTAATGACAGCCAACAACTAACATGAATTGATTGTTTGCTATCTGTGAGGGACTTTCTAGGTACTTTACATACCTAATCTCATTTAATTCTCAAACTCACCTTAAAGGTTGGAAACTGAGATGTAGAAGGCTAAGCATCTTGCCAAGATCTCTCAGTTAATAGGTAGTGAAGCTAGGATTTGACCTCAGGTAGTTTTGTTCCAGAGCTTATGTTCTTAACTACCTCTCCCGAAATAGCCAGGTGAAAGTGGGAGCGTTCCAGGTGGGGCTCCCTTTTCCTCCTTGCGCATATAGATAGTATGGAAAGCAGCTTGCAGTATTATGCCCTTAATAAGGTTTAGAGCATTACTTTGGCCAGATGGAAAGAAATTTGCATCTGATTGCCAGCTGCGTTTAAGCTACTCTGGGGTTAGTCAAAACTGAATAAGATCCTATCCCCTTGCTCAAGGAGCTTGCAGCGAGACAGAGGAGGAAAGTCATGGTTTGTGCTTCTTTGTGAGTGTGACCATAGCCTCCCCAATGATCATCTTGACAAGGATTAAGTATTGCTTCTTGGATGGTGGATAATTTAAGTTGAGACTTGAAGGATGAATAGAGTTTGAATAGGCAGAGATGGGGAATGGGAATTCTAGCTAGAAAGATCCAAGAGAGCAAAAGCATGATGGTGGGAAGAGCTTAGGGAACTTTGGGAGATAGGGATTTATTTTCTTTGAAAAATCGGGGTAATTAAAGGTAAGCAGGTAGGTTGGAACCGGATCCTAGAGGCTCATTCCAAATAAACTTGTTTAAGGTAGGTTTCTACCAAGAGAGCTTAAGTACATGGAAGGTTTACTTTCTGTCTTTGAAAACTGGTCAATTCAATTTTGTTTGATTAGGCCTCCTATGATTCATTTTATGTGTCTTTTTTTAACAATTCCTGCTCAGTGTAACAAATTGTGATACAAAGGGTTTAAAAAAATAAAAATTATTCAGTTTCATCACTTAAAGAGCTACTATTAAGATGATTTACATTCTATATGTTTATTTATAATAAACTTTTATTTACAAAAAATAGGATTATATTATACACATAACTTTGAAAGCTGTTTTTCTTTTTTAATTTAACAATAGAAGGTAGATAATCTTCTACAGCAAATATTATTTTTAGTGGCTGGATAGTATTTCACTGTATGGATGTACTGTTAACTCATTTGTCCAGTACTCTATTGATGGACGTTTCTGTGTGTGTTTTCTGCTATTATTTATATCTGTAACCACCCTTTTACACTTTATATACTTAATTCTAGTTTATTTCCTTCTGAATATCTTGAAGTGGAGTGGGTTGGTAGTTAAAAGGGTATGTACTTCTTTAGGGCTTTTGATACCTTATTGCCAGATAGTCCTTCAGAGTGTAGAGTGTATGAGAGTTCTTTTTTTCTTTAGCCTCTCCAACACTGGTAATATCAATCTTTTAAATATTTTTACTAACAGGACATATTGGAGAGAAGAAATTAGTTTTTTTCCAAACTATATGTTCTTTTGTATCTTTTGTTTTTTAACCTGTTATGCACATTTTTCTATAGCTGTATTGGCTAAAAAGTGTTTCATTGTGTGGCTGTATGTTGGTTTATTTAGTAAGTCTCCTATAAATGGTTTATTTATTTAGTTCCCCATAAATGGACATTTAGGTTGTTTCCAAAGTTTTACTATTATAAACAAGGCTTATTTATTCATTTTTGCACAATTGACCCGTTATTTTTCATAGTTTATCTTACTAAAAGTGTAATTGCAAGGTCAAGAGCAGTTCTTTTTCACATTAAATGGTGTACTGAATACTTAGTATATTTTGATTTAATGTAATGGGTCCAATAAGCTAGTAAGTTGAATTAACTTCTGTGTTTAAAATTTTGTAAATAGTAACTCGGAATATTACATGCCAAGGGTCTGTACTAGATTCTGCAGAATTCAAAGGTGAAAATGACACTGTCCTTGTTGTAACAAGAGTTTACAACCCAGTGATTGTAGAATTTGTCAATAGCCCACTGATAATGGGACTACTTTAGGTGTTCTCTGCCTTGATCTTGCCATACTGTCTTTAGAATTTTAAAGGAAAACCATGTAGATGTATTTATTTATACTTCACTTATCTTTTTCCTAAACAGGAAAATAGTTCTCCTTGCAGGATGGGCATTGTTCTTATTCCTTGTATACAAAGTTTCCAAAACAGACCGAGAATATCAAGAATACAATCCTTACGAAGTATTAAATTTGGATCCCGTAAGTAGTATTTTTATATAATGCACATTAGTTTAATGATCGCATGAAAATACTATAGACCCACATCCTAAAAGAAATTGGGCTGTGCCTAAAGAAATCAGACTTTGGTCAGTTAAACTTTTTATTAAAATAAGATCTAATCCAGTATTATTTTAATGCGTATATGTTTTTTAAGGTACCGATGTTGATTGCCATCCTATTATTGGTTTGTAATTGCTAAAATGTAAGAATATTTGAAGATGAGGTACAAAGTCAGTGAGTATATTTTTAAAAGGCGTGTGTAAGAGTAGTGTAATGCAAAGTTAAAACCAGGAGGTTCATTTATGTTAGCTGGATGATAAAAATCTTATGACCCTGTGTTAGTTGACATTAAGGCAGTATGTTAAGTCTTTATGTCTTATAAAGAACTGGTGTCATTGTCATAGAAATTCAGGTTAACCTTGGGTATACCCCTTAGGTGATCACTTGATTGATGTCTCAATACAAGATTAGTCTTTTAGGTATAACAATGGAAAGTTAGAACTGAAATGAATTCTGGAGATCATCTAGTCTTTTTTTCTGCTGGAGACAACGAGGTCTGGAAAATTTGTGTCTTGTCTGGGGTCCCGTAACGTCTTAGTAGCCAAACTGGATCTAGTGTTCTTTCCATTTTTTTCCCAAAGCATTTTCTTTTACTTCTAGTCTCTGCTCAGTAGGTGACTTGATCCAGGCATTCATATAATACAAAGTAAGGAGTGTGTTTATCTTCCAGTTTTCTGCTTTGTAGAAGAAAAGTTTGCATATTATCTGATTTTTCTTATTGTGAGGATCATGATCATTTTTGTTGTTGTTTTTTTTGAGAAAGATCAGCCCTGAGCTAACATCCGTGCTAATCCTCCTCTTTTTGCTGAGGAAGACCAGCTCTGAGCTAACATCTATTGCCAATCCTCCTCCTTTTTTTTTTCCCCAAAGCCCCAGTAGATAGTTGTATGTCATAGTTGCACACCCTTTTAGTTGCTGCATGTGGGACGCAGCCTCAGCATGGCCGGAGAAGCGGTACCTCGGTGTGCGCCCGGGATCCGAACCCAGGCCGCCAGTAGCGGAGCATGCGCACTTACCCGCTAAGCCACGGGGCCGGCCCAAGAGAGATTTTTTGAGATTAAAATATTTAGGGGCAATTGAATGCCATAAAAAATCAATATGAAAAATTTATTAATAGAAATCGAGTCTAATTAGGAAACAACTAAGGTAAACTTATTCAGTGTTGACAAGCAGATATTCTTCAGATTATTTCCTAGAAAGGAAGTTAACCTTTGATTTGAGGGTTTTTTCAGCCAAGCTTAATTTACTGTGATCATTCTTTGATATTTAAATATTACTGCCCTTGTATTTTACTTAAATACTGCATTATATAGTTTCACTCTCAAATCATCAGTGCCTAGGGTACGGCATGGCACATAGTAAGTGCTCAATAAAATAAATATATTGGACAAAATAAGTATATTTTAAAAATACATGGTGTGAAATTTGTGGGACAAATATGTAGGAAGAGAACTTCATTTTCTCTTTCTGGAAATATTGAGTAGTTCATATTTTAGGTTCACAGTGGGATGGATTATGCTTTTATGGTGTCGTGCTTATTTTTACTAAAACAAAGCTTTTCCTTTTAGGGGGCAACAGTAGCAGAAATTAAGAAACAGTATCGTTTGCTGTCACTTAAATATCATCCAGATAAAGGAGGCGATGAAGTTATGTTCATGAGGATAGCAAAAGCTTATGCAGCGTAAGTATCATGGGACCCATTACACATTTTTAAGAGTGGTATAGACAGTTTTCTATTTGAATAAAATAGTTGTCATACACTTTTATTAAATGCTGACTTCATATGTTGAGCCTGTCATTTATGGGAACTAGCTGGCAAACCTAAGTGGTAATTTAAAGCTTAATGTTAAATAACTTAGAGTAATGCTTTTGCTGTGTGAAGTTGGTTAAATTAAGTAGTAAGTGATAGTTAATTGAGCTGTTTTCTAAGCATCCTGATTAGAAGAGGGTATACTTACACCTTGTTTTCATTTGTAGGCTTTTTATTAGGCTAGATCTATTTCTCTTGTTTTGGCAATGTAGCTTATCTCATTTAAACTATTTAAAGACCAGTTTAATCTTTGGGAAACAGGATAGAGTATATAAAATTAGAAGTTGTTATTCCTTGAGTGTTAATATTACAAGAGATAAAAGTTAGCTGGATTCTTCAGGACTCATGATAGGTATATCCCTATACAGCTCTTACGTTGAATTGAGTAGAATACAGGCAAGATATTTGGTTTTTTGAGGACTCAGTGATGTATAATTTTGTGAGCTAATTTAAAAAATATAAGTAAATAATAGGATACTCGGATATAATAGCAAACCCTGAAAGTGGCATATGAATGACAGAAGTTTGGGAAATATTGTCTTGTTTTTGTGCTTAATAAAAGTATGTTGACTGTGTCTCCTCTCCCCCCTTTCTGCGGATTGCTGGTTATCTGTGTGAATATGATTCTGTAGTAAAGCAATGCCTCCAGGAGCTTCTGAAGTGTGCACTACATTTTCTTTTCTGCACAGCAGATGTCCTCCAGATTGCTGTTTTTCAGTTGGTGTCTCCTTTTCCCTTTTTTTCTGTGTGTCTCCTTCGAGCATTTACTTTCGTTGCACAAGTATTCTAGTGCCTTAGTTGCTGTCCTCAGGTAATTCAAGAAGAACTAATGATTTCCAGAGGAAGTCAGATAGCCAAGATTATATAATTAGTAGTTTTCATTTTAGTGCTTTTGGTGCAGTTATTTTTTTTTTCCCCTCAGTCTTCAGGTATTATAATATTTTAAAGTTCATGATTTTGTTCTCAGCTTACTGAAAATCTGACTCTTTATGATGTATTGTCACTGTTCCAAAAAGTATAGAAGAATAATATATGGCCTTTGGTTTTAACTCAGTTATATGATAAAGATACAGAATGTTTGGTATGAAAAAGTCTTAAGTAGTTGATGATCTATCAGACATATGAAGTAAAATGATCATGGGACCCAGAACTTCGAGATCTTGTAACTTGTTTGAGTATACCTAGATTAGATAAAGGTGTGCATTTCACTAAATATCAGTTCTGAGTGATTGAGTTAAAGCTCCTGTCTTCTGTATAACTCTAGCAGCCTGAGTATAACTCATGCAACTTTTGGAATGCAATTACAGCCTTTGATCTACAAAGTTTTTTTAGAATTTTCTTTGGTATTCAGGTATTTTCTCTTCCCTTATTTGTCCATTATAATAAACTAGCTGGGTCATTCCTGTTTCTTCATACCAGATTCTAACTTAAAGGAAAGGAAGTACGGTTATTTTTGAGGAGTTAGACCAGTTGTTGAATTTTCTGGTTCATTCTTCGGGATTTGGCTTTCAGACGTAAAACCTCTTTTTAAGCTACTTTATAACAAGTGGGCAGCATAGATGTTACCTTAAAGCTATTTTAATTTTTAAAAACATGTGTTTTCATGTGTTCCTACAAGTGAATATGTAACTTAGCTCTAATCGCCAGCTCAGGGTCACTCATATATAATTTAGTGAACGCATTCTCTAGATCAGGATTTATAATCTGGGGTCCCTGAAATTGTATACAGAATTTATGTGTATTTGTATATGTGCATTTTTTCCAGGGCAAAATGGGTATAGATTTCATTAGATTCATAATAGGATCTATGACACAACCTCCCACCTCCAAAGTTAAAGGATGTAACCATATTTAGGAAACTTTATACTCATTGAATTTTTAAAAATTATATTAGCATCATTGGTTTTGTCTAAGCTTGTTATAGATGAATTATACTAAAATCACATAGTTTTTAAGTACTTTAAGTCTTAGAAATGGTGTTAGACTGAAGTACGAATAAGTAGCAAAAAATCAGTTTTTTTTTTTACACCGACCTTTTAAAGAGTTGATGATTCCTATATTTTGATTGAGGATCCTGCATGATTCCTGTCACACAGCAGTTGTACAAGTCAGTTTAATTAATGACTTAATAGAATTGTAATCAGGTGTGTGTGTGCAGGTTGAAAAATCAACTGCTACTATGATGTGAGCTGTGCTTTATTTTGCAAAATCTGAGGGTATTGTATAGCAAACAGAGCAGTTTATCTTGCTGCCATCATCAGAAAGGCAGAAGGGGGCAGAGAGCATTATTTTGTGCAAAAAAATCTGATTAGAAGACTTACTATTTAGAGAAGCAATAGCTAAAGCTCTAGATGGGGTGGACAATTGTGCAGGGAAATCAGGGCAAATTTTTTTTTTTAATTTTATTTAGGTCATAATAGTTTATAACATTGTGAAATTTCAGTTGTACATTATTATTTGTCAGTCACCGTATAAATGTGCTCCTTTACCCCTTATGCCCACCCCCTCGACCCCCTTCCCCTCTGGTAACCACTAATCTGTTCCCTTTGACCATGTGTCAGTTTATCTTCCACATATGAGTGAGATCATACAGTGTTTGTCTTTCTCTGTCTGTGTCTGGCTCATTTCGCTTAACATAATACCCTCAAGGTCCATCCATGTTGTTGGAAATGGGACAATTTTGTTTTTTTTTTTTTGTGGCTGGGTAGTATTCTATTGTATATATACACCACATCTTCTTTATCCATTCATCAGTGGATGGGCACTTGGATTGCTTCCACATCTTGGCTATTGTGAATAGTGCTGCAGTGAACATAGGGGTGCATAAGTCTCTTTGAATTGTTGGTTTCAAGTTCTTTGGATAAATACCCAGTAGTAGGATAGCTGGGTCATATGGTATTTCTATTTTTAATTTTTTGAGAAATCTCCATACTGTGTTTTCCATAGTGGCTGCACCAGTTTACACCCCCACTAGCGCTGTATGAGGGTTCCCTTTTCTCCACATCCTCTCCAACATTTATTATTTTTTGTCTTGGTGATTATAGCCATTCTAACCGATGTAAGGTGATATCTTAGTGTAGTTTCTATTTGCATTTCCCTGATGATTAGTGGTGTTGAACATCTTTTCATGTGGCTATTGGCCATCTGTATGTCTTCTTTGGAAAAATGTCTGTTCATATCCTCTCAGGACAAAATTTTTTGAGAAACAGCCTTCCCTTAGCAGAAAAGAATCTCAGCACCACTCCTTATGAACTTGCAATCTCTCTAATAATGCTTTTCATTGGCTTCTGTATTTTACTGTGGCCTTAGGTCAAATAGCGTAAGTGGAGTTACGGTTAAATAAGGACTAAAGATGTCAAGGTACTTGTTTTCGTAAATGACCAAATTGATAAGTTTAAAAATATTTTCAAATCATTGCAAAGTTTTGCTATTTTATAAAAGTACTTCTGTATTCTCTCTCTCAACTTGGAGCTTTGTTGAATACAAACTACATTGTATTTTAAGTGCATCTGTTCTGGGAAATAGAAATATGGCTAAAAGTAGATTTGGCTATAAACATAATCTTTTGTCAATTGGTCTGCAAGAATGCCTTTCTTATTATATTATTGGTCATTTTTTGTGTGTCGGCCTTGTCTCCTGAACAACATTGTACAGTTTTTGAAGGAACTGAAATTTCCTTTTAATGTTTTTTAACATCTATACTGGAACCTGGAATAAAATGACTCTCACTCTGTTTCTTGAGCCATTGCCCAGGTCAAGGGTTATATTCATATTTAGGTGTTTAAAAAATCACTCTGTCACTTTCTTACTGCCTGGGTTAGGAAGCTGTTGCTTTAGCAGATATTTTCCTAGTCTTGCCATCAGTTGGCTTAGGGGAAAATTGTGATCTTAGCACAATGCAAATGACCTTTTCCACAGCAGTGGAGTTTTACAGATGTTGTTCATTTTTTTCTTTGAGAATGTGCCAGTTTTGGAGGGATTATTATTATTAATTATATTAAGTTTATACTTTAAAAATGTATATATATCATTATTAAAGTATAAACATGCTCACTGAAGAAATTTTAGAAAATATATGAGCAGATAGGAAAAAAAAAAGTCACTTATAATCTTTCCCTGCTCAGAAAATGTAGTAGTGTTTAAAGTTTCATCTTCTGGCTTGAACTGGCTACTTCAGAACTAGGAATTTGTATCAAGGCTCAATAGTTAGGATTTTCTGTTAATGCAGAATTCCTTGCTCTCCTCTCCCCTTTTTTTGCCTCATTGCAGAGAGGCTTTTCTTGATTCTCTGAAATTAATTTCTTTAAGAAGTGAGTTGGCTGGTTAGTGGAGTTTATATATATGAGTACTTATTGTCAGATGTGGATTTCTAATTGTGCAACTTTGTTCTTTTGATGCTAGTTTAACTGATGAAGAGTCTCGGAAAAATTGGGAAGAGTTTGGAAATCCAGATGGGCCTCAAGGTGTGGTAAATGATGATTAAAAAATACTGGGGGCTGACCCTGTGGCCTAGTAGTTAAGTTCGGTGTGCTCTGTTTCGGCAGCCTGGGTTCAGTGTCTGAGCGCAGACCTGCACCACTCGTCGGCAGCCGTGCAGTGGCCACGACCCACATACAAAATAGAGGAAGGTTGGCACGGCTGTTAGCTCAGGGTGAATCTTCCTCAAGCAAAAAGAGGAGGGTTGGCAACATGTGTTAGCTCAGGGCGAATCTTTCTCAGCAAAAAAACCAAAAAAAACAAAACTGAGGATGTGGTATATGTTATGAAAATGTTAACTAGGTAGAAAAGAATATTTTGATTTTCTTAGTTTATGAATAGGAAAATTACAACCACAGAAGTTAAACAGATATGTAAATTGAGTTCCCTTTAATTTTTACTTTATTTTTCTTTCTAGAGACTAGTTTGAAAGGTAGAACTTTGATTTGATGAGAAGAGTAGTCACTGTCATTATTCATTATTTCTAGTTAGTTGATAAAAACTGGATGAAAAAAATCTGTTTTTCTCTATTGACTTGAAACATTTTCTTGTCTTTTCATAATGTTTACATAAACTCAGGATGTATAAAAGAATTCAGATTTTCTAGGAAAAAGGAAATCATGTACCTAGAGTCCCCCCGACCCCCCCCCGAAAAATGTAAAGTTTCAGATATAAACCATATCCATTAACTTTTGTGTAATGGGGGCATACATAATAAGATAATCTTTCTTAAAGTTTTTTGGGGGGGTAGGAGACAGAATTTTGGGATATAAATAAACTGGAAGTGGAGACTCTTCACAAATATTCTTTCTGTTTTAGCCACAAGCTTTGGAATTGCCCTGCCAGCTTGGATAGTTGACCAGAAAAATTCAATTTTGGTGAGTGCATTTAAAGAAGATACGTTGGGGGCCAACCTGGTGGTGTAGTGGTTAAGTTTGTGTGCTCTGCTTCAGCAGCCTGGGGTTCGTGGGGGTTCGGATCCCGGGGTGGACCTACACACTGCTCATCAAACCATGCTGTGGAGGCATTCTACATACGAAATAGAGGAAGATTGGCACAGATGTTAGCTCAGGGCCAATCTTCCTCACCAAAAAGGAGGAAGAAAAAAGGTAAAGAAAAAAGACACATTATAATGTATTTAACATATCTTAGTAATATAAAGAGAGCTTTTACAAAGAAAATATTGGTGTGCTGTTTCTAATTTAACTCTGTGTTGTGAAGACTGTTTTTACATAGTGGAGAAAAGAATTGGTTCCCATTATTAGGTTGCTGGTTTGGGGCAGTGTGTTCTTAAGTGTATTTTTAAAACCTTAAAGTTGTGGTGATTTCTTTTCTTTTGGAGGCGCTTTTAGATCGGGTCCTACCCTTGGTTTGAGGAGCTACTGTTTTTTATGGTATCTACATTTATCCTAAGTAGTGGTCAAAATTTACATTATCCTTATTTCACATTTATCCAGACTAGATTAATTTTAATTTTCTTTCCCCCCCAAAGCCCCAGTAGATAGTTGTATGTCATAGTTGTACATCCTTCTAGTTGCTGTATGTGGGACACGGCCTCAGCATGGCCGGAGAAGCGGTGCGTTGGTGCGCGCCCGGGATCTGAACCCCGGGCCGCCAGTAGCGGAGCGCGTGCACTTAACCGCTAAGCCATGGGGCCGGCCCTAGGTTAATTTTAATCTATGCTAAATTAATGGTATATATTCCATGTGGTTCTTCAGGAGGCAGTAGGGCATCAGACTTCAATCACTGATAGATGCTGCAGCTCTGAAAGCGTCAGGAGTTATCTTAACCTGTTATTCAGGCATAAATGATTCCCTACTTCAACTTTCCTGAAAATAATTATCTAGGAGCTATCTTTGAAGCAATAAAGAAATCCATACAGTCTGTAATTTTGTTTTGAAATGGTTTATTTAATGTTATTTTATGGCAGATTAACATTCATTATCTTCAAGGGTGTGTAGTTGCTATATATGACCTTGTTTATCATACTTAGGGTTAGTGTGGGAATACTAGAGAGGAGGAAGATAGTTAGCTACCAGATTTGGCATCAAGCAGTGGGAGAAAAATCTAAGACCAATAGACAGAAATTACTTGCAAACAGAACATTATGAAGTTGCTCCTTGATATTTAGGCAAAGGAACCAGGGTTCTATCATTTATTTCCAAGGCACTAACTACTTGCCAAGGTGTGGTTATATAAGTACCTGAGTGGAAGGGAAATATAATTTATAAAGCTGTTTTGCTAGTGTTAGCTATAGAGCAAATTAAAAGGTAATTTATTATAGTAGAAGTAGATAAGAGCATAGGTTCTGGAGCCAGAATGCTTGGATTCCAGTCCTGGCTCCACTACCTACTAGCTGTGTGGTCTGGCAAGCCATGTAACCTATATATGCTGCAGGTTCCCTATCTGCAAAAGGAAAGTAATAATGGTACCTTCCTCATAGAGTTTGAAAATAAGAATTAAACAAAATAATATATGAGAAGTGCTTTTGATAGTGTCTCCCCCATGTAAGGCCCAAAATAAGTGTTCAGAGATGTTGTTATAATTTACCTGATGAAGGCCATCAATTTTTTCTCTTCTTTTCAATTCTAGGTTTTACTTGTGTATGGCTTGGCATTCATGGTTATCCTTCCAGTTGTTGTGGTAAGTTCTAGCTCTTTTTGTTAACATTTGTTTGGAAAGAGAATTGGTGGCATGCTTTGGAGAGTGTCTCTGTAGGATTGTAATTCGTGTTAGAATGTAATCCATTGATTCTTGAATTTTAAGAATCTTATATTCAACTATACTTGAATCGTCTTCTAAAGGTGACATCACTTGAGTATGTTAAAGTATATCTCCTCCCAATCCAAAAGTTACACACAACTGAGACAATACAGGTATATTTAGAGTTCAAAATGAAAGTCTTCTTCACCACCTCCCTCAGCTCCATTTCTTTGTTAGAGATAATCACTGCTAAGCTTGGTATTTCCCCTTTCAAATATTTTTCTGGGCATTATGTATACATACACACATTTTTTTTAATATGATCTTACTGTATGTGTTGTTCTGTTACTTTTTTGCTTCATATGTTAGGGGCACAACATATAGAACAACCTCATTTTTAAAAATAGCTGCATAGTACCTTAATATGGAGATTCCATAAAGTTTATGATTTTACTGTCTATTGCTTTTGTAACTGGTGGTGTTCTTTCTGATGTTATTGTTCCTCTGAGTCCCATAGTGAGGCTAGTAATTAGCTTGTCTTGCCTTCTTCATAGTATTGTTGTGTGAGGATCCAATTGTATGGAATAATGTGAATGAAAATAGTGTATCAACTGTAAAATTGCTCCTACACTTATCAGATATTTATTGAAGACATGCTGTGTGTCAGGAACTATCTTGTTGCTTATAGCAATTGGTTATTTCATTTATATTTTGTCATCAAACAATTTCTAGCTGAAACTTAAATGTTTTAATCATATATATGTAGTGAGATAGGTTGGTGTTTAGATGTCAGGCAGTGTAAATTTTTTCTAAATAAATCATTTGAAATGTGTAACAAAGTTATTTGTTCTAAAGCTCAGGTGTTTTTATTGGTTTATGAACATTTAGAAAATGTGATGCTTTATTTCTTCTTAAATTTTATTTGTGTTTTAGGGCTCTTGGTGGTATCGCTCAATACGCTATAGTGGAGACCAGATTCTAATACGCACAACACAGATTTATACATATTTTGTTTATAAAACCCGAAATATGGATATGAAACGTAAGTAAATTTAAGTAATTGTGATATTATTTTCTGAGTCACTTATGTGGAGTTGATAAATATTCAATTGGAGAAATTCCATTTTACAATTTAGAAATACTCAGTTCATATAACTAAAGCTGGAGAAAAATGCTAATACCCTTTATCACATTTATTGATATGTATTTCTATTATTCCCATTTACTCAAATATATATATATATAAAATATATGTGTTTTTTTTTTTCAGAAATTTTATGGTAAAGCTTCATGTGGACTAATTTTGTAATAATACTAGCTAACATTTCTTGAGTATTTGTTGTGTACCAAGTATTGCTAGGGACTATACAGGTATTAACTCATTTAATCTTGGCTGTGCCTCCATAAGTAAGGCTGTTGTTAAGCACCTTTTATAGATAAGGAAACTGAGCCCAAGGATACACAGTAAGTGACAGAGCCAGGATCCAACCCAGGCAATCTGGTTCCTGAACCCTAAACCAATACATTGTGCTTTATTAATCATAGTAAAATAAGTAGAGATCTTGGGTATGTTGAAAGAAACCTGCCAGAATATTTCATTCCCAGAGTCTTATTTAAAATTTCTTATGAAAAAAAAAGTACCATCCTAAATATTTTCTTTGATCCTATAAAGCTAACATTGTAAGTTTTATCACTGGGATATATAGTGTTGCCTTTCAGAATCACTGCTCTGCAGAAATCGTAGACATCCCCTTTCCCCTCCTTAAGAAGAAAAAAACAAGACTTAAGTTTTAAATTGTGCTTCACTTGTTAGAATGCATTTTTGTTCCAAAACCTAAATGAACTTTTCTGTGTTTTGGATTTGCCAATTTTACTAACTTTCTTGGTGAGGAGAAAGAGACTTCTTAGGATCATATGACTGTGAACAGATCTTATATTTCTGAGGAGTGAGTGAATTTTACTCTCCGTTATGCACACATGTCACTATTCCTTATGCTGAATTGAAATATATTAATATAGAAACTTATTCCTTCATGAAAATGTTTCATGTTTATAACCTGTTATAAACAGTGATCTTGATTTCTGTTTCATTTCTGAGGGTGATACTTAGCCTTACACAATTAATTCTATCAGAAAAGCATTGTTTAGCTGATGGGTTTGGTTGTATATCTTTGGTTACTTTAGCACTGGCACCATTTACATAGCTGTCTTAGGAAAAGTTGTTTTCATGAAAGCATTTGAGGGTAGTAATAGTAATCGCTCACACATATTACTGTGCTTACTGTGTGTCAGGCACATATGAAGAAACTGAGACCCATAGAGAGGTGAAGAATATTGTCCTAGGCCCTTTAGCTAGCAAGTGAAAACTCCAGGGTCTATGCACTTAACCTCTATACTGTCCTGCTCTTTGTAAGTATGTGGCATGTGTTTTCTGCTGCTAAGGTGTGATTGATGACTGTAGTGCCAGTCATTAAAGAGCTTGTATAGGCTAATGAGAATAATGCTAATAGAGGTGGCTGCGAATCGTGTGTATTTCAAGGAACACTACTCCCATAAAATTCTCCAGGGTTCCAAAATTAAAAATTGTCTAAATTACGGAGTATTTTAGTTTACTCAAGGCTCTGAGAAGTCATGAAGTGAAGAAACCTAAAACTCCTTTTAACTCATTATTTCTCAGCCTTATTTAACCACAGAGCCCCCTTTTTCCACATTAACGTTACTAACATCACATGGAATACTTAATACTCTATGGAAGTTTTCTGTGGAACAAATGCTTGGGTCTATAAACAGGTGCTATTTGAAGTGATTTTAATACATCCACTTGCTTTGGGGCCCTTAATTTGATTCGTATTTCTGTTCACTTGTGATAGGTAATATTGCACAACATTTAAAAAAGAGACACTTCTTTTTTATGGGAGAAATTAATACTTGTTAGTATTAGATGGGAGTTAAGATGATTTTTAGCATTGTGCCTGATTGGAAAACTGCCTCGCTCTAGGATTAATGAAGTATCTTAGGAGGGGAAATTAATAGGTAGAGTACATTTATTTATTTACCTTCATATTTCTTTTGTTTTCCTAGGTCTTATCATGGTTTTGGCTGGAGCCTCTGAATTTGATCCTCAGTATAATAAAGATGCCACAAGCAAACCAACAGATAATATTCTAATACCTCAGGTTAGGCCTATCTCCCAGATTCCTTGATAAGCATTTAAGTATTAAAGTTAATGCTTTTTAAGTATATATTTTTTGAATAAGTATTTTATTTACTCTAGCTAATCAGAGAAATTGGCAGCATTAATTTAAAGAAGAATGAGCCTCCACTTACCTGCCCATATAGCCTGAAGGCCAGAGTTCTTTTGCTGTCTCATCTTGCTAGAATGAAAATTCCTGAGACCCTTGAAGAAGGTATTTGTGACTCTAATATCTGCAGGGTTTTAGTGTACGAAAGGAATGGATTTAATTAGACCTCATAGTGCAGTGTTTTTGTTGCTGTTCTTTTTTGCTCAATCGAATGAATAATTGCACAAGGGCCTTTTAAAAAGAAAACTGTATGCTACGTAATTACTTCACAAATACTTTGAAGGTCTAAGTCAGATGTTTTGGCAAATGTTAAAATTTAGTATTTCAAGGTGAGAAAATACTCTGAGAAATGTTTAGTCAATTGCAGATTATACAAGAGTTCCTAATGACATTAAAAAAAAAAAAAGATAGTTTAAGCTTTTGGGGGGAGAAAAAATGGATTTCATGACAACTGTCTTAGTCAGCTCCACCACCATCATCATCTTCCAGCAGTGATTACCAATAAAGTGTCTGTTTAATCTTTATTTAAAGCTTTATAAGTACTTGAAGCCATCTAGTTGACTTAAAAGAAAAGCAGTGGATTGGGGCAGCAGTGTTTCCAGGGATGTCATGAATTTGAGTGTGTCATCTCTTCTTCACCTGCATTATTTCCATTGAAGTTTTACAAGAAAGTTATTATCCTTAGGGAATAAATGTTCTTTCTGAATGTAACTCCCCTGTACCCTGCCTTTTAAGCCAATAATTCAGTCAAATTCCTCTGGAAACAAGGCCAGTTGGTGCTTAGTGAGTAGTGATAGAATAGGATGCTTCTTATGGAGTGAGTGAAAGAGCACTATTTAGGCATTGTTATTGGAGTTGCAAGTTAACTAGTAATTCTGTTCCTAATGTTCTGTACAGATATTAATAATCTCCATTTTTACCAATTATCTAAGAAACGGGACAAATATTTTTTTAGGTTAAGTACCAACCCCAATGGATGAGCTTAATGGTTAACTATTATATGAAATATAAATGAAAGAGTCTCTCTGTCGTCCCTTCCCCTCTCCCCTGGGCATTTAGTTGACGTTTATTCTCAATCTTAGTCTTTGGATTTATCCATAATTATAGAAACCTAGGTGCACAAGAAGAAAATTCTTACAGTTCTTAAATATAGTAAGATTAGGATGAAATTTAAGATTGACTGTTTCCAAAAAAAAAAAAAAGGGTAGGAAGTTAACTTATAAAACCCAGCACCATATTATTAAAAATTTGCCTATGAAACCTCTAATGTGAGCTAAGGTTTTCTGGCTGATTTTTGGCATAGTGCTGCTGAGGAGAAACTATTGCATTCAACCTGTAAAAATTCTGAGTTCACGCAAAATATTTGTGGGACAACTTAAATTTAGTATTAGTCTTGGACTACAGGTAGTAAAGATGTTTTAACTATAAAAGTGGAACATGATTTGTTTCAGGTTTTTCATTGTTTTGCAGATCAGCAATTTATGCTGAAAAAATGCCCTGCTCTACTTCAAGAAATGGTTAATGTGATTTGCCAACTAATAATAATGGCCCGGAGCCGTGAAGGTGAGGAGGAAACAATTAATTGTTGTACTTTTTCTTGCAAGCATATGCAGATTACACTTTATAGTTTTAAGATTTATGGGTATTTACTCTAATTCTATCTATACGTTGAATCAGCTTTCCCAATTTTGTTCATGGTTTTTCTTAGTTCTTTCCTATATTTTCCATTATGTAAAGTCTTTATCACAATTCATTATGTTTTTGAATTTAAATTTTTTCATTGTTTTATTGTTTATTGTTATTTATTGTTTACAAAGATTTAAAATATCCTTTTCCTTCCTCTGAATGTTTTTAGAGTTAGGTTATTCTGTATTTTAAGAATGAGTTTGAAATAATTCTTTAAGTGGTGGAACAATGATCACCTGACATGTAGTGTTTTTTGCATGAAGGGAAAAAAGAATGAGGGAGTTTGTGTCAGTAATGGAAAGGGAGACTCTTAAGAAAGAAGTTAGTGGTTGTGGTTTGTTGTTATGGATGATGTCAGTTCTTGGCAGTGTCATTATGTGCTTAATACTGATGATGTCTGATAATTTACTGGTTTTGGAGGTGATGCAAAGAATTTTTCTATCAAATCTGTGGTTGTTGCTGGATACTGTGTGTTTGATGAAGTTTATATATTTTTTGTATCTTATCCAGTAACTTTTAAAGGAAATCAACACCATGATCTTTTTATTTATTTATTTATTTTTACCAAACTTCTCTTTTATTTATTTATTTTTTAATTTTTTGTTTATTGCAGTAACGTTGGTTTATAACATTGTATAAATTTCAGGTGTACATCATTATACCTCTATTTCTGCATAGATTACATCACGTTCACCACCCACATACTAACTACAGCCCATCACCACACACTTGTGCCGAATTATCCCTTTCGCCCTCCTCCC